TATGGATAAGATATTTATAAAGGACAGTATCGTAAGAATTTTGAAATTTGTCAATATTTCATTTCAATTAACAAAATAGCTAAAGAAAAAAAGCTCCCAAAAGCCGGAAGCAGCAAAAAAGCCCGAAAGTCTAAGTCACATAAATATAAAAAATCAAAATGTAAGAATGTTTATACAATGGTGATAATTGTAATTTATTAAGTATTAACATAAAATTAATAATTATTAGTGAGTGTGGATCTTGTTGTAGAAGCTGTTGCAAAAGCTGTCGCTTCTGTATTTGGTAAGGAGAAAGGAAAGAAGTGCTGTCGGCATCATCTTCAGGTTCAAGTAGCTCAATTAGTGAGAATGAAAAAGAAGATAGAGGTAGATTAGTTAGCAGAAAAGATAAAGGTAGATCAGTTAGCAGAAGAGATAGTAAGGAAAGTAAGTCGGACAGTAGAAGCCATAGAAAGAAAGAAAGATCAGCTAGTAAAAGTGGAAATAGAAGCTCTAGCAGCAGTAGCAGCAGCTCAAGTGAAGATGCATTAACAGTATTGACAAAGGAGCAAAGGATACACTTACAGGTAAATATATTTACTATATCTGCTTAAATATTTTGTCTTGATTTTTTTTTTTTTTTTTTTTTTTTATAATTATTAATAAAAAGATGAAGTAAGAGTGTTAATTGAAGATGATGCTTTGGCAGACCTCAAGCCAGATCCAAGTAAAAAGTGGAGAGAACAATTGCATAATATTCGGCATAAGCTTATTCCGGATATAATAAAGAAATTGCCAGTCTATCGGCAAAATTCTGCTGCGATTGAAAAAAATTTTAAAACAGCATCATAAAACCCAAAGAAGAACAGCCACAATTAATGCCAATCCGGCATTAAAAAAACATAATTAAGAAAGAATAGACAAAAATAGTAAAGTGAATGATGTAAGCATAACATAAAATTTGGTTTAATCATTTTTCTTAAATCAATCCCTCGAAAGTTATTTCATCTACAAATCACTTAGCCGATATATCGGCTAAGTGATTTGTAGATGAAATAATTTTCGGAGAAATATTCTAATTTAAGTTATTATTTTTAATAATTTAAAAGAGGAGAAGGAGACGAAAATTAGTGTCATTTCTTCTAAGAGCTAGAAATAAACAAATAAAAAGATACAAGAAGGCGGATTTGGAGTTGATAACTCAGAGTAGAGGTGGAAATGCTTATCATTCCAATGAAGAGTGGAGAACAGATGAAGAAGCGACAGAGGCAACAAGAAAGAAGATTAAGAGGTTAATTTGTATCAATAAATAGTGGTGAGAACCTCAAGTATATATATATATATATTTTTTATTTATTTATATATGAATGTTAAATTAATAAGCCTATCGGCCTAATATTATTTAGTTAAAACAGCTTTTACATAAGCGTATAGACCCGTTTGTGAAACAACTGCAGCCCATAAATATCAAGATGCACAAGCGCCATTATTTGGGGGATGTGGATAGAAGAGAGGAACCACTAGAAGATTGCTCAAAATGGGCACTATCCGATAAAGCTATTACTAGATACAACCTTTCAGATTATGAATTTGATGCAGACTTTGACACTGGAGACGAAAATTCACGTAAAGATAAGAAAAGTAAGAAAAAAAGTAGGAGTGAACGAAAACATAGTGAGAGCAGAGTTTCGGGTGCCAAGCAAAGTAATACAGAAATTAGTGACAAACAAAGTTGTATGGAAATTAGTGTCAAGCAAAGTCTTGAAAGAAGAGTTGCAGATGCCAAGCAAAGTCTTGAAAGCGGAGATTCAGGTGCCGAGCAAAGTCGTGCAAGCAGAGGTTCAGGTGCTCAGATACTTCGTGCGGGAATTAAAAGGAAAAGAGGTAATTATGAT